AAGGTGGACAAATCGACATCTCCCCTAAATAACCGACGTGAAGGCGAAAAAGCGACATTTTCCCCTTTATTTATGCTTTCAAATCCTTTATTTCCCCCTTTTTCCCTTTATTTCCTCTTCATTGGTTGCTTGGGGTATTAGCAAAATCTAATATGTATTAGTCTTTATATATATAATTTTGGCTAGTCACAAATGATCTTCATAAAAATTCATCGATAAAGCACAGTACAAATGCGATCTGTAGTAACAAAAGTTCTTTACAAACTCTTTAGTTACAAATTAGGAAATTAGGTGATATATTTAATTTGATTTACTGGTTTTTAAAACAAAATCTGTCTGTGGGTTATTGAGTCATACGCTTTTTTGACGTAGTGTTCAGATTTAAATTTGTATTGCCACAAATAAATTTCCATGTGCAACATCAGCAGTAATACTGATGAGATGATTGGAATAATTTCATCATTAATCTTTGTAGAGCTGCATGGAATGTTTGTTGTTCTTAATTTTTCTTTGAGACTTAAAAGTAAGAATTAAATATATTTTTCACTGGCCTTAATAACAAAATTACTGATCGGCCGTAATTGTAAAATCTGAGACTTTTATGTATATTCAAGATTATTCTAGCACAACCAAACAGATAAAACCACCGCATTTCTTTGTTTAACACCAGAAATAGTTGGAAACTAGGTAGGCGTTTGTGCGTTTTACATTTCAGAGATTTTGATTTTCCATTTGCTTAGCCAGTTTTGGCAAAACAAGTCAAAATCCCACGAAATCACTTCAATACACAAAAGACTACCGAAAATTATTTTGTCTGGGAAAATACCTATTAAAAGGGATGGCACAAGAAAAGTGCTGTGAAATTCTTTCATGTTTTTAAAAATCAGAGAAACACAATTCCAAGAAGTGGTCTCTTTTTAGTAACTTTTTCACCAAGTTGTACGACATTATGTACATATTAATATGATATATAAGTATTTATTCCATGAGGACATATGGACAATAGATTAGCAATATAATGTAATTCAGAGATTATAGTAACAAATTATGTAGTGTAAATAATAACAAGAGCAGATTGTCTGTGTGCAGATCAAAAGTCATGCAAAATTAACACATTAACAAAGGATTATAATATGAATGGAATAAGATAGTTCAACTGTTTTCGTTACGATAATTAAAAGTAATAGATGACTTAGGTACAAATCACTGATATCCGAAACAATTATGAATAAAATTGCCTCGATTTTTGAAATAATTAAATAGAAAGAAATATTTTTAAGTACGAAATAAAACAACACTATCAATAATAGTAAAATTTAAGCATATGGTAAAGATCAAGATAAGACGTACTTCATAGTATATACAATTCTGACTTGTTTGCACTAACGACAAGGGCTTCTTGTAATCTAAACAGATGGATACAAGAAAATCTGGGCATATTTAGACAACCTATCTAAAGAACCTCATAATCAGCCTGTGAGTCAGTGAATTGACTAAAGTGAACTAAGTATTCAATAGTGGAATTCCTAATCACTTTCCTCTTACCATTATAGAACCAAACAAGGATATATACTTGTGTCCGAGTTGAAAGTAAGAGCTAACTACGATCTGCTTACGTTGATCTACAAGTTCAGGTAAACTAGTAGATGCACAGAGAGGCGGTCAGACGAGAAGATTGCCCTCTCGAATATAGAAAAATATTACTACAAGTGAATGTCAGTCGTAGCTTTGCTGCGTAGAACACTTCTTTTATAATCCATTGTTAACTTAGTAATATATGAACGCACACAATGTTTTACCATTATTATTCACATTTCTTAATAAAGTATTATAACCTTTCTATTATCTCATCGTGTTTATTAAATTTCCATATGTCCTCACGCAATCAATTGCCAAAACTTTACACACATATACATAGTCATACAGCTTGGTAAAAAAATTATAAAAGAGAGATCCCTCTTATAAGCTTCACGCTTTATTACTTAAGTGGTAATTACTTGTCTACTGAAGAAATTGCATCCCTAAAGCTATGCAATAGCAAAAACCAAAGTTGTTCATACTGTGGTGTGTGCTACTTATATTGACATAAGTAGTAGATGATGTTAGTTGTGAACAGAAGGTCTGGCAGCAGAGAGACAAGAGGATCGAACAGTAAAGAATGGAAAAAGAATGCAATTTATATTAAAATGCAAAAACAATGAAGTCTGAGTCGTTATGAGACAATTGATGGACATTTTGCAAATTGCGTATTTACTATTTCATTGTTGGATTTTATTAACAAGTCCTGTAATTTTGTGTTAAGTACACTCGATTGTCCCCACTAGTGTTCTGTCCACTACAATATCACTAGTAAACTTAGGTTTGAGGAAAAATTGAAATAAGCGAAAATGAAATCACGAATTTCGTCATTGGTTTAGCTACTAGTTCAGATGTTTTTAAACATAGTGAAATTTAAGTGGTTGACACCTTATGCATTAATGTACATGTTTTGAAAGTAAACGTTAAACTGACAATTGTATATTTTTAAAACTGAAAAATGTAATTGTATGCCTGCTGATGGTGTAGTTTAGAAAGAATAAAACGATTTAGCATAGAAATTTCAACATGGAAAACGTATTTATCCCAGTTGAAATTGTTCTCATTATTACAGACATGAGGTTATTAAAATTCTATCTGTTAATTCTTTATCATGTCTGGTTCCGTTTTTAAAGTGTTCTATTTTCTAACAAATCTGATATTCATAATCCGTTATTTTAGATACTGTTAAATGAAGAAAAAAAAGGTACAGAACCACTCTATCCATAAGTCAATTGTTTCTATTATTTATTAGGTAGTAAGAGAAATAAACAACCACATGTGTTATAAAGTCAAGAGTTGATATTTCGATGAATATAATATCTAAGGGTAAAGGTGTAGTCGTAAATCAAACTATTGTATTTTGAATAGTTGAGATCATAAGTCAATTGAAGCCAGATCACCATAGAAAACCTAGAAGCACTAGATTGCTGTTTCGTCTTCAGCAGTGGGAATCCACGACTCCACCTTGTGGGATTCGAACCCAGGACCTATCGGTCTCGCACACTAGCGCTTAACCACTAAACCATTGAGTTGGCCGGCATCCAACGGTGTTAATGTCTAACTCCAACTAATCCACAAAATTGAGCGAAATACTGACCATTGTCATCAGTGAGTTACTATCTCACAACAGACCCAGTTGAACTCCATTGGTCACTGCTTCTCATTAGAACTCCAGGATAAACATCTTGAAGGCACTCACCGATGAGCATATGTTGATCAGTATCAGAAGGGGTTTTGTGGAGATTGTAGTAATTTTAATAGTTGAGATTGTGAATCAGTTGAAGCTAGACCACCGAGGCAGGGTCGTGGATACGCACTTCTGAGGAGTCCCACAATATGATGAGACGGCCGTCCAGTGCTTTCAGGTTTTCCATGGTGGTCTAGCTTCGATTGACTCATGATCTCAACTATTGGGGTTACTATAACGTCCTCAAACCCTTTTTTGATATTGTATTTTACTTTTTATATATTATTCTAAAACAGATGGTTTACTCAGTTTAGTAATTAACTTATGTCAATCAACATAATTAATTGAATCTGACACATCGAAGCATGTTCATATAAGTTTAGTTCAGTTGTAAAACAAATATAGTAGAAAAGTTTTGTCTACTTATTTCACTGATTAATATACTGACTAGATTGGAATTTATACATACATTGAAAGTCATTTTAAAGTGAATAGATGACAAGACATTTTATTTAATTATAAGAGTAATATTTCAACCATTTCATTGTGATAGTTAACTAACTTTTGTAACAAGAACTTATCGTATCCCACTCTTTATTGTCTAGTCACTCAAATCCGAATCAATCAAATGCATTGTAATGCCTGATATGGATTCAAATCCATACATGTAATGAAGAAATAAAATGAAATTATTTTGGTCAAAGTGGAAAATCAAACATGAAAAGAGTAGTCCTGAAGAAACATATTACAAAAAGGTGAAAATGCTGAATGATGGAAAGATATTAACCAGTAGAAAGTAAAAAAAATAACTAAGTCAATATCAAAAGTCATGGCCTATGGCACTTAAGTTCATCCGGCACAAATCATTAAGAGGCCAAACAGTGATATTTACTTTTTCAGGAGATTTAGAGAAACAGCTGATGATTTTATAAACTTGTCTGCCGTGTATGATGCATTTCGGAGTATCTCAGCCAAAAAGGGTTTACACCCACGTAGATAAGTCCATGACCTAGATTAATATGTAAGACGTTTATTCATGGTATTTTAGTGACTAATCACTTAGCGGTTCTAGTCTACATAGTATTAAGTCACAATCTTATGACAGTTTAATTGATAATTCAATATTGTTTATAGTTAGATTTTCTAAACAACTCACCTAGTATTCGCCTTGGCAATCAAAGGTTGAGTATATTTTCATTGTTTTTGTGTTCATCATCAGAAGGACAAAACCTTATGAAAAGAGTAAAATTCACTTGATGTTGTTTACTTGTATCTTCTCATTGTTATTTAGGACTGCAACTGATCAGTCTCTTGTTGGCATATGTTCAATTTTTGCGGATATTGCATCAAGTCACAAGCTTTTTAAGCAAAGATAGATAGTGTCTAGCAGCAGTATCCAGGACGTGCGATGGCTTTAAAGCTAACTGTACTGGGTTCGAGTTCGGGAGTGTACATCAACACTGAGGTGCAGGTACATACAAGGGGCGCGTCCTAGATTCCACTGATAGCCACTATCCATCTTTGCTTAGAATGCCTGTGAATTAAGGCAGTATCGAGGCAATACACACAGTATGAGACTGATCAGTCCTAAATAACAATGTCAAGATACAAGTAAAACAACACCAAATGAATTTATTCTTTCAACTTTACTAAATAATCTGAAATTTTTATGAAAGAGTTACTGTAACCTTAGTAAATTGAAACTAACTTTAATCATTTTACTCTTTATTTCTAAAGAATATTCATTCTGGTCAAAATATGATTCAATTGTATTCAATAGGAGTTTACGATTAAAAGATTCATTTCATAATTTTAGAAATCAAATCTATTCAGATTCATGTATTGAGGATAATTTGAAAAAATGGAAATGTTGTGAACAACCTAATCATCCAAGTTGTTCTACATTACCATCGAAAACAAAAGCTATTGAAACTATGCTAAGTGATCCACAAACTGATATTAGTTTAGTATTTGCTTATCTATGGTGTACAAAAGTGAGTTTCATCTAAACCTTTTCCCCCCTCTTCGAAAAAACGTTTTATAAGCCAGAAAATATTAGTCACTATCTGTATAATCATTTGGTATTTGAAAGTAAAACTTAGTTTACTACTTAAATATGGCCTATTATCTATGATTTTATGATAATACAAATAAATAAAATAAGCTTCTGGATAATCCCTTAATCTTTAAACAACTGAGATAGTATTCAGTGATCTACAAATCAAACTTCAACCAATTTGTGATTCTAGGCGATAATCTTCACAATCCACGATTCTTAATGTTTATATATATTTATTACAATTACACCTCATCATAAAGTGAACATCAGTATACAAGCCTGTTAATCGACGACTAACTGGTGAAGTTCAAGAATAACAAATCCATTCCAAGTAAACATTAAATCATCTTAATGTTTTCAGAAATTTTGATATGAGTTCTCTATTCCTATTTCCAGTGATAAGAACAAAATATCCTAACAAATTTACCGACAACTTACTTATCAATGTCTTTTCAATAATCTCACATAGTTAGCTGACAACACTAATCAAATGATGTACTTAGCCTGTGTCGTTTGCATGATATTTCGGTGGCTGTTGTCAAAATTTCCAAGTGTGCTGACGTTAGTGTCCTACATAGCTTTATCTTTTGGTCCTCTATAACGTGTTGGTATTTGTAGATCCTGTAATGCGCATTCGTTATTATTAGGTATACCATTTTTCTTACATTTTACTCAGCTATTCTTCATCTCAATCGGCAAATAATTGGAGGTCTGTATCTTACACTTGTTAGTAGAACAGGCTGACGAAGATACTCGTGAGGAAAATACAATTGTAGTAGTGTAGTACGCTTCTCGATGTATTCAGCATACAGTTTAAAAGTTGTAATCTAGTTAACCATAAATAAGCACATGTTAAGACAATTTTTGGTAAAAAGGGAAAAACTTATTTTGACGAGTTCTACTGTATGAGGCGGAAACCTGGAGAACTATGAAAGCCATCATCCTGAACATACAGGTGTTTATTAACAGTTGTCTACGCAAAATACTTTGGATTCGTTGGCCGGACACTATTAGCAACAACCAACTGTGGGAAAGAACAAACCAGATCCCAGTGGAGGAAGAAATTAGGAAGAAGCGCTGGAAGTGGATAGGACACACATTTAGGAAAGCACCCAACTGCGTCACAAGACAAGCCGTCACATGGAATTCTCAAGACCAAAGGAATAGAGAAAGACCAGAGAACACATTACGCCAGGAAATAGAGATAGATATGAGAAAAAGTGGACAAGAATTGGAATTAGAAAGGAAGGCCCAGGACAGAGTGGGTTGAAGAATACTGGTTGGCGGCCTATGCTCCATTGGGAGTAACAGGCGTAAGTAAGTAAGTAAGTAAGTAAGTAAATATTTTGACGAGACAAACTAAAAGAGAAGAATTGTGAAAATATGTGTCAGTAAAACAATAATGAGGTCAATAATAGAAATTAACTATTTTACTTAAGAAACAATTGAATATAAGCCATGTCACAATGTGTCCTACAAACTGTTTAATTATTTCATACCAAAAGTGTAGCCTAATAAGTGCCATTATTTCCGTCATTTCGATATGGATGTCTCATTTTGTATTTTAGTGCCAAAACTGCAGCCCAAGTAAAGAAATAGCTTGATTTTAACTTGATGGAAGCTATTTGTAGACCAGAGAATTCATCTAAAGACACAAATCAACTAATTTTGGATAAACTTCATCTAAAACAATGTAAATGTCTTAGATTCATAAACAATGAATTAAGACTAAGGTTTTCCAACAAAAGAACTATTTCTTCATAATCTAATGATAGCCAAATGTTATTGATGAGTACATTTATTGATTACATGTATCTTTAATTTTTATATTGATTATCAGTGAAAAACAAAACTACACATTATTACCTTGATATTTTAGTTTCAGAACTGAATTGGGTAAATAGTGCAATTGTGAGTATATTTAATATGATATGGTATGTTTTGCAGACATACTATCATGTCTCATGAACTACTGATGAATACTTTAAAAACTAACCAATCAATATTTAAGAACAAACTCTTCTACTTCCTAGAGTTCTAGTTAACCACAAAAATAAAAACGACAATAATATATACATATATTATGACAATGATTACAAGCTGGCTAAGATATCGATGAATCATTATTTGTGAGTGTTATATGTAGAACTTAGATTGTTAATATACAGCGTATAACTTGAGCACTTGAACGCTAGAACCATCCGAACTCGTAAATGAGGAGACAAACAGCGTTATTGATGGTACAAAACTGTCAGGTATTTATAGTTTATAGTAAAAACGAAATCATCATTATAGTTATCCAATTCTCACACAGGGGCTTATTAGCATCTGTCCAATAGGGAAGCTACACGTAGTGATTTTGGAATATTCTTCCAAAAACATAGATGATTGGATGAAATATCTTTGCCTTTTTCTGAGCTTCTTAGAGTTTCCTCGAGTTTACCCATGGACCGTCCTTAAAGTGAGCAGTTATAGTTTAGAAAATATAACTAACGAGCTAACATACTACTCAATAAAGGGATAAGAGTGCTGAAATCAGTAAAATGTAAGACAATACATCAAAATGATTGACAGGATGAAATAATTAAATATATAAAATACATCAACCATTTCTTTTCCATATTTCTAAGCTTATTTCATTGATCACTAATGAGAATATAAAATCACTTGGGCACAAAAAGTTTGTAAACTTATGTTCAAGTAACTGGAAACGTGAATGGTTTCATTTAACCATATGAATTAAGTGGTAAAAACCTAATCTACATAACTTGTATTTGTAACATGAATATTACTATGATTCTTTTTGTAGGTATGGGCAAATTTTCACACATTTAATGGTACACAACAAAGAGATTTTCTCGAGGATATAGAAACAGGCTGTCCAAATCCATGTCTTGGAAATCCATGTAAAAATACTCAAGGTGTAAAGAATCATATTTGTCAAGTTACAGGAACTTTTGAGGTATTCATGAATTATTTATGTACATTATCAAAAAATGCGATAAAAGAATCAATTTTGGCTTGAAGACATTAGATTTTCAGCAAATATAGGAGTAATTATAAAAATTATAGTGAAAGAATTGGCGACCGTGTAAATCATTGATACGTTGCTGGGAGAAGAACTGAAGTCTGTTAAATAAGCAAATGTTTTCATATTCTCTTTAACAAGGTAATAGGCAACTGTTCAATGCTTCGAATTTCCATCATCCAGCGCTGCAGCTGAACTCCTAAAAGATTGAGTTGTTCATCCTAACTTATCACTGGTACGGCCGAGAGTGGGGAGACTCAGCTCTCCCTCTCGAAATGCTCTCATATGGCCACGCGTATATAGCCTCTGCCAGGGAAGTCCTATTTATCGCCTTCTCGTGGCAAGGGTGTTGTTTAAGAAATTGAGAAGACGAAAAGCGAGTGTCTGGCACCGGTTTTAACCAGGTTGGTGGACATGGAGAGTCCACCTAGGGGAGTTGGAAAACCCTCATTCCAAACCAATGGTGCACATGGGCTCCAGTATCCTGGAGGAACAAATGGCGTATGAACCAATCGCTGGTCACCGGCTACAAATGTACTACATCTCCTAACGTTGCTCCACTGCCTTGTGAATCAGACCTACAGGTCGAAGGCTCCAGGTGTGGCCTCCTAAGAAAACCATCTGCTTCTGTTTGGGCACCCGCTCAGTATCATATTCCTCACACATATTAAATGAGATTTGTGTGGCGCATATGTATTTGGTGCCTCCTTCTACCAATATCTATGTGTTAAAATAAAATAAAATAACTGGACAATGGTAGCCAGTTTCAATATATTCAATCTTAATGGTAACTTGGATGAAAAACGTGTCCTAAAAATCGACAAATAAATTGTGAATGTGCACTGCTGAGGAGTCCCATACTAGGACGAGACGGCCATTCAGTGCTTTCAGGTTTCCAATGGTGGTCTAGCCTTAAATCAACTTATAAATTCAACTACTAAAATCATAAAAGGTTAAGAATTTTTCTCAGTAAGAATAAATCATTATTTATAAGTAAATATATAAATGAAGCTAGTAAAAATAGTTTATAGGACAAAATAAAAGTCATAAACCGTTTATCAGTCGATAAAAACTTATCACTGTGGCAGTGATGTGATGTACTTTAATCTGCTAATCAGGATTTTATATTACTCAGTCTATTATATAAAGTCGAAGTACGTTTAAATAGTCAGCTATATAGTGCTATGTAGAGTTGAAGGTCTTATGTGAAACCGGAGGTTCGCCATTGATATTGTGGATGGTTCGGCATTATTTTGGCAAGTTCTGATGAAAAATTTGTTTGCCGGTTAACCGATTTCATTCATACTGGTGGTCGCTTCTCAGTATTCTCAAAGGCTATTTTCATTGGGACATTGTAAGGCATGTCGCCATTGACTGTCGTGTAAACGGAATAGGTCAACTTTGGCCTGTCCGCCTTGTGCATAATTGATTCACGCGATCATTGATCGAAATAATTAGACATGTGATGTGAATGTGTATATGAATGATGCGAATGGTCCACCAGGGTGCTTGGTACCCGTAGGGTTGCACCACAGGATTGAGCTGTACTATTCAGATTGTAGCGTTGAAGCTCATATGGTGTTTGGTTTTACTGTGAAGCGGGATTGAGCCGTACTATTTGGGTTATAAATTTTAAGCCTGGGTGGTATCTGGCTTTCCTGTTAATCGGGATTGAGCTGTACTGTTAGGGTTGTCACGTGAAGGTTTGGATGGTGTCCAGTTCTCCTGAAAATCAATGTAAAATTACCCTGGCCCACAAGGGTATATTATATAACTATGAATAAACTGTTTGATTCTGCCAGTAGTCATATGCTTGCTCGTCTCAGACGTTTAATTAGTAATCTGAAATATTCTTCATAAGTCAAGTAGAATTATTGAGTGATATTTAATTAAATATCAATCTGTTTTGAGTTCTGTTAAACTGATTATGATGTCATAGAAACCGGTAGTAAAGATAGATAGATAGATAGATAGATAGATACCAACTGGTAATATTTTCTTATGTTATCATTTGATTTGTATTACATTAAATCATTTGTAAATGTTTAAAGAATGAATATCAATGTCATTGTAAAGAAGAAATGATTTGGGATAAAGATTTAAGAATATGTCTCCCAATAAATCCATGTGATAGAAAAAGATTTCAAGTGTGTATACCTGAAAATACCCTTCAATGTATTGCTTATAATAGTTCTGAATATGAATGTATTTGTAAATCAGAATATATGGGAATTGATTGTTCATTACCACGTGATGCATGTTATGAACGAGTAGATAAAGTATGTTCAATAGTGTATTTACTTTGTTTATTTTTCTTGACTATTATTTATCTAAACAGTAACTTATATCAATGAAAAGAGACCTTATTGTATTTGTCTTTCGATTATTAGCTTACCTCAACGATGTTGTTTATCAGCTCATCTGCTACGAAAACCGTCTGTTGAGTGAAACCGACAAGATATCAAAGAGGGATTGATTTGATATCTGATAGCTTATTTCAGTCATTTAAACGATAAAGGAAACTTGAAATAGAAAATTCTGCAACAATTTTAAAGACTTTCCCGGTTTTCAACATTGTACGAGTATACCATGTACCTAAATTGTGGTTTCTCTAATTCTCAAAAGGGGAATTAGCCTCGTGACTTTCGAAGGGACTCGACTTTCACCATAAGGTGTCATAACTCTTCCAAATGAAGACCTTCTAACTCTCAGAGCAGAGTTTAAATTATTTGAATTATTTTTTCTGGTTAGCATTTTCTGAACGAGTTAGTTTTCTACAGGATAGGGTTGCTAAATCCATGCCCAACCCTCCTTCTTTATCCGAGCTTGTGACTGGCAGCAGCTTCAGAGGGACTTCAGGAGGAGTTGAAATATAAGATTACCTGTGTTCGTATTCATTTATCAGTTATTCACTATAAACGAATTAGGAAAACATAATATTTCATAAAGTAAAAGACATGCTTAACCTGACATTATGTACATAACTTGATAATTGTTCATTCTTTCTTTTATGAACCACTAGTGTATAAAAAATAAATAAGTAAATGAAATGAAACTATTGTATATTACCACAAGTAAATCGATCGATATTTAAATGATTACCCTTCTTTAATTTTTTTTACTGAATATCCTTAACTCTAGTAGACAACAATTAATGATCCAACTTTTCATCTATGAAATATCAATTTTAACAGTTAAGATCATGAGTTATTTGAAGCTAGACCACCATCAAAAACCTGGAAGCACTGGACCGCCGTTTTGTTCTACTGTGGGACTCCTCAGCAATGCGCACCCACGATCCCGCCTCGCGAGATTTGAACCCAAGGATCTGGCTTTGATTGACTCATGATTTTAGCTATTAAAATTCTTATAATATCCACAAGACCCCTTCTGATATGGAATATCATATTGAGATTTAATTGATAAATTAAGATCTTTATGGTAAATTTTGTTCTTGATTTTCAAAGGTGGACTAGTTTTTTAGAGAGACTTCCCTTTGAATTTTTGTATGTACCTGTATCTGCGTGAATTTACAAATTAAAACATTTGATTACACATTCCGAATAATATCTGTAGTAATATATACTGCCTGTCTATCTGAGAATTGTATCATTAGGGTTGTAGTGACCTACTTTTATCAAGAGGACGCGATGGGTTTAATGAAAACAATCATTATTATAACCAATTGTACCAGTGATTGTTTTACTGTGCTCGTTTGTTTAACTGTGCTAAAGACAGCCATGTTATTACTACGTCATTGATTGTGACCTTGCACGGGTTCGGTTACGCTCGGTAACCACGCTTGTATTCTTTTGGCACGATCTCGGTATCCTTTCAGTACCACGAGATCTCCAACAAATACATCTCGACTACAGCCATCAACTGCCTTCTGATATTTGATTTACGGGGGATTTTATCGATTAACTGGCACATAGTCTTCTTGTAGTGGTGTTCATAGTCAACCGTGACTCGACTCCACGCTACAGGGTCTTGACTAATGATCCTCAAAAGACGATTACGTTTGGCGTTGAAACATACGAAGATTCTATGAAAATTCATGAAACTATGGGTTTTCTTTTCATATGAAGAAAAAAAATAATTCTATTTTAGTTACTACACTTCATATACAGTTATATTATGTGATTATCTGCAATAAATTGTATTTATCAACACATCCATTAGTTACTATTCATACAACAATTATGAATCCATCATTTAATACCTATGAATCAATCAGAATACATTTTGACCTTTCTGTACAGGTAATGTAATGTAATATATTTACTGCTTGTTATGATCATACTGTTTGTTTTATCATCCAATGAACAGCATTATTACAGTAGTTAATGGTTACTTAAATTTTATTTCAATAAATTTAGAATGTTTTTTAAATTAAAAATTCAATGGATTTGTTTATTATTCAAATGCCCTGGTACGGCAGAGAGTGGAGAGATTCAGCTCTCTCTTTCTTTCTGTCTCGAATCGTTCGTATACAGACACTGTCAGAAAAGTCCTACTCATTGCATTTTCGAGGCGGGGGTGTTGGTTACTAAAATGAGGGGACGAAAAGAGAATGCCTGATGCTTTAACCGGGTTGGTGGATCTAGAAGAATCACTTAGGGGAGTTGGAAAACCGCGATTCCAAACCGATGGTGTACATGGGCTTCATTATCCTGAGAGAACAAATGGCGTATGAACCTATTGTTAATCACTGGCTACCATGAGACTGTATCTTTTAACTTTGCTCCACTGCCTCGTGGATTAGACCTCTAGGTCAAAGTCTCGAGAAGTAGCACTCTAAGAAATCATCTTCTTTGGTTTGAGCACCTTGGCAATATCTCAGCCCTCACACAAATGGAATGATTTGTGTGACACCTATCCATTCAGTGCCTCGTTATACCAATATTTATGTGTTTTAATAAGTAAACTGATTAACTATTAAATACTACATATAATTTTGATTTGGTGAAATACTTTCCTTTCGATTTTTAATATTATTTTAGTCACAGTCCAACGGAAATTTGAACTGTCAAATTCATCTAGGAAATATATGTCAACCTATTTTAGGAACAGATTATTATCAATGTATATGTTTAGAAAGCTATCAATCTTTATTGTATACTTCTGAACCAAATTGTTTTGGAAGAATCAATCCTTGCCATACAATACATATAACTGATCTACTGATCGATTCAAGTTTAAATGATGAAAAGAAAAATTTCCAAATAGTTCCAAATAAAAACCAATATATCTACCCTAGTACTGTTATATATTGGGGTTTAACTTGCCTTAATGGTGGTCAGTGTGTTGCTTCAGAAGATTTCACACATGCTGCTTGTGTTTGTCCCACTGCTCCAGACGGTTCATTATTATATACTGGTTAGTTAGTTCAAATGTGAATTGTGTACATTTAATGTTCGTAGTTTTAGAAGTTTGAATGTAGAAAATATTTCACAGTGGACAATCCTAGATAAAGAGTGGAATTAGTCATTAAAATACTTTGCTCTTGGTTTCTTTATGACACTCCTAACCATATCAGTCATTATTCTTATTGTTAATAAATAATTTGAATAACACTGAGAGCTAAAAGAAACGGAAACTGTTACTGCTTTGTATCAGAAAAGTGTGTGATCTTAAAGTGAGTAACTGAACAATGCGAATTTAGATGCTTGGATCTCTGTTGCAACAGTGGATTCGGAAAATCCTTTATCCATGCTCTGAAAGACTTGAACTGATGATTTTATCCCTGCTTCCTCTAATTCTTAAGTAATATTTTCGTTGGACAAGTCAAAAGCAATACTATTGTAAAAGAAGACAATGGGCAGGATGAATGTAAATTTATTGTGAGAAGTTAAAAAGCATCCACATAATGCATATACATAGCAGTCAATCCTACATTTTCATCTTTCGGTATTTTCTACCATCTGAATTGTCTTCTTGTCTGGTCTCCAAGTGTTCTGAAAACGTAGTGCCTTCGATGCGCTGAAACTCTTAACTTGTTCGGTTATTAATGAAGCATATACTAACTGAGTTTAAGGAAATGTCAAATGACTACAGAGATTTGAACACCTTTCTCACCCTAGTTTGAAAATCTTCACTAAGATTAGTGAAACAGTGAACCGATCACCAGATCGATTCTGAATTATTGCCGCCAAGCTTTTTATCAATTTGTGAATTTTCTCAGATAAAAAGACTTGTTGCATCACAGTATGTAGATATTTCTTTGAGTAACAACCATTATCTGAAGTATGAAAGTGTTCAAGTTACACGAATCTAACCGGTCCATACTGTTAACTGAGCTATTCATTATTTAAACAAACAGTAAAGTAAATGATGAAACGTATTTCTATTTGAATCATTTTATGCTTGATCATTGATAAAAGTGTGTAATATAGTGAATTTTGTCTTGATATGATTCAGCATGAGATTTGATTAAATGTTCATCTCACATATTACAATTTCAAGGATTGAACTGTGAATATTCCATTGGAATTTGGTCATCTTGGACACTACCTTCACCGTGCTTTCCAGAAGATTGTGGTTTGTCACGTTATCGTTGGAGAAGGAGACAATGTTTGAACAATACCATCGATGATAATATGATTTTCCATTCTTCTAATTCGTCAGCTAAATTAAATGACATTGACACCTTAAAAAGAAGGATGCCACTTCCTTGTCCAGGAGCTTCAGAAGAAGTAAGTTACACACTAGTTCGACAAAAAACACTTACAAATACATATTACTTAATTACGCCTGTTACCCCTTGTAGAGGGGCATAAACCGCTCACCAGCATTCCCTATCCAACTCCGTCCGGGGCATTTCTTTCCAGTTGTTTCCAGTTGCTACTCATCCTCTTGATTTCTGTTTCCAATTCCCGACGTAGTGTATTCCCCAAACTTCTCTGTTTACCTGTAGGATCCCAAGTTAGCGCTTGCCTCGTGATGCAAACCTCTATAGTTTGTTTTATATTATTTTATAAAGACAAAGACGAAAAATCAACCTAACAAGAATTGTTGAATAGAACTTAATGCATTTTTTCTAGGACGTTCACGGTCATTAAAAAAACTTTTCGTACTTGCTAGTGATTAAAAGTTTGATAATTCATCAGGCTGTTACTGTATTCAGGAATCCTAGCGAAATGCCATGACCAGTGGGTTTCAGTTATGTTGATATGAGGCACTCACCCATAACTGGCATTGGAAGGTAGTGTTGTATTAATAGGCGTATATCAACTTTAAGAGCTAAAGTCATTGAATATCATCTCATTGGTTCAAAAGTTAAAGTTCCTCCATGAAACGTGAGGAATCTGGATTCATTTCCAGGTGGAATATGGGATGCGAACTACTGGGTAGTTTCATACTAAGTCTAAAAATATGTTGAAAACTTTCTCTTTTTCAATGGTTTGCCAACAAATGTAATTTTTTGAGCTAAACCGTAAAATTTTAATCTTACTGGTAACCTGTATGGAGATGAATTCTTCCAAGCTTGAAAGAGTAAACTGTGACCTACGGAGTATAACAAGTTGGAAGTTTAAACAGTAACTCATTATTGAGGATCATGCTGTATCACAAGAGATTTGGAGCTCCAAAAATCAGCCATTGTATTTCTAACTAATTCCTGAAAAATATTATACCTCCCGACTGAACTGAAAATTCTTGGTCCTATCTTGTATGGGATCGTAGACGAATGTTACGGGAAAATTTTGAACTAGTGAGGAAAATATACCCATTTGTGTCGCATTTTAAAAAAATAATTGACCTGTAAATAACACTTACTAATACGTATATGATAAGTTTCGGAATTGTATTTTAGGTTAAAACCTTGAGATATAAAGAGAGATGGATGAATGCGAGCAGTAAAATTCAACACGCGCGTCTCTTCCTATTTGGGACTCGTCAGCCGGATGTACTTGCATCCCAAAGTTCATTTTAACTCCGGGACCCAAACCCAGTACTGTTCGCTTCAAACACCTTCACGTTATCAACTTAGCTACCGAATCCTGATAGCTACTTGCTTGTGCAATGGGGTAAAGTTTAAATTCACTTGGTGTTGTTTGCTTGTATCTTCTCATTGTTGTTTGGGAATGCAATTGACCAATCTCTTATTGGAGTATGTGCATCCTGTTCTGATTACCTCGATATTGCCTTAAATCACAAGATTTTATGCAAGGATGTATAGTGGCTGCTAGCGGTATCCAGGACGCGCGATGGCGTTTGAGGCGAACGGTACTGGGTTTGAGTCCCGGAGTGAACACCAACTCTGGAATGCAGATACATCCAGCTGACGTGTTCTAAATGAGATGAAACGCGCGTCCTGGATTCCACTACTAGTTACTACCCATCTTTGCTTATTACGCTCGTGAATTATGACAATATTGAAGCAATACGCACAGTATGCACATATGCCGATAGGAGACTGATTGATTGCAGTCCTAAACCACTGGGAACATACAAATAAACAACTTGAGCTTGAGATACAAAGTATGAAATAAGATTATTGCTGCTTTACATTTCAAAAAAGGATGTGACTTTTTAAAACTGGATATCTTTTTGAAGTGATATTTAGCAATACATCCAATCTTCTCTGTATCTTTATTATCTTATTTGATTGCATCTTACTTGACAACAGATTTTGCCATGCCCCCCGCTAGAGCCATGTATTAAATCACATTTCTCAGGTTTTATGGTGGAAAACAAATTCAGTTATGAAACATTATATTATTTCACATATACTACAATTTTTATCGTAAGTATTTTCATCAAAATGTTGACGTATATAAAGTTAACTGATCACTAGTATACCATTTAGTTACAATTAATATCTCATTAATGTGACTGAAAACTTTTATATCCTTCTGTAATGTGTAACCATAACCAATTCACGATGTTGCGCAACCATCTTCCATTTTACTGTGGTAGACACCTGTTTCTACCCGACACGGATTAGATCCACTGGTCAATATTCAGTATTCTAGTAAACGAGAACACAAATGGGGACAGTTTAATGTATTTAATTACAAACCACAGAACGATTCAGTAATATCTGAGAACCATTGCTGCAAATATTTCATCTGCAAAATATGAATCAACTTCACTGTTCCTTCATTTTCACAGCAATTATTTCCCGTTCTCATTCTCTTCAATCTTCTTGACCTTGTGCCGCCAGACACTATACTTTCGATTAGTGATACATACTACTTATTTCTGACAACATCTGTAGTACACATCACATTATAATAACTGTTATAATTAGTAAAGGACATATTGTAACCAAAATCTGTTTGAATTAAGAGCGCATTCACTTCAGAGTATTAAAGAATTAAGTCACTGCTTGTTTTGTAACTTCTGTTTGATTTTTATTGCAGTTCTACGGCTCTTCATATATTATTTGAAAATTTAGTCATTTGTAAATGTGATGAGAACGGATAATAATTGTGCTGAGAATATACTATTTATTCCGTCTCCTTGAAGCGAATTTGTATGATCATGTTAATGTTCAATGTGTTAGTATTATTGAAGTTGTAACCCCAGGTCATATGTGGACCAGCTTAATTGATATAAAGCGGTTTTATGGATGATTTTGTGTTAAAAAGATTCAGTTTTCCTATTTCATTGTAGGAATCTTGAGAGATGTTCTAAACTAAGAAAATCAACCTGATCAGTGTTCTCTGTTTTCCAACTGCTCTTCAGTCTATTTCAATCTGTGATATAAATGACTATAGAAATATACTTAGTTTACACAACTTACATATATGGTTACCTAGAAATATTACGTATAAGCAAAATCATCATAGATTCGTGATATCCCAACTAGTAGAGATTGGAATTTCTTACATTTTGTGACTTAGTGTGATCCACTTTATGAATATAATTCATGTTTTAATGACTATGTTCAGAGTAAATGATTGTTTTCAGTAAAAAGCGTTTCTCATCTTTATGATTTATTATAATTACTATTTATTTGAAGACATAAATATTAGTACAAAGAAGCGCCGGATATATATACGCTACACAAGTCACTCGATTTGCATGTGGACTGTGATACTGCACGGGTGCCCAGACCCAAACAGGCGGTTTTCTTATGGAGCCGAACCCGGAACCTACTACCTAAAGGTCTAATCCACAAGGCAGTGGAGTAACGTTGGGGGATGCAGTGCCATGGTAACCGGTGACCGATAATTGGTTCATACACTATTTGTTACTTCAGGGTCCTGAAGCCCGTTCTCACTAATGTTTGGAAATGGGGGTTTTCCAACTCCCGTAGGTGGATTTTCCATATCTACTAACCCGGTTAAAGCGATGGATTTTCGCTTTTGATCTCAATTCTGTAAACAACGGTCATGCCGCGAGAAGGCATTGAGTCGAACTTCCCTGAAAAAGACTGTGTACACGTGGTCATGTGAAAGTATTGCAAGAGAGAGAGAAAGAGAGAGAGGGAGAGAAAGAGCTGACTTTCCCTACTCTCTGTCATATTAGGGTCTATTAATAAAATAAAAAACATATTTTGTTTAGATGAAGAAAGTTTATTTAACTGAAAAACGTAAAAAATATGTTTATTATAAAACATTGAATGTCAATATTATTATTATACATTTCTTTACAATAACAGGTAATATTTAGTTGTTTAATATGGTATGTTTACAGTCCACCAAGTGTCAGATAAATAAAAGTGAAGAATATTCTTGATGTTCTATACGTTATCATCGACAAACATTCTATGTTATGTTATTGCATTGAGGAATACAGTACAAATACGTTTGTCAATACATCTGTTGTTGTTTATTTCATATAAGTTTAGATGAACATTAGAAATCTGAAAAGAAACATTACTTGTTTCATTTTCTACGAGACACGGTTGTCGACCCCATGCCCAACCATTCTCGTTTACCCGGGCTTGGGACCAGCGGTAACTCTGGAAGTTCTACGGGCGTAGTTAGTGACCACGATTGGTATCTAAAAATCATTTCTGAGGTATATAGTAATCTTGTAATAAGATGATGAGTTGATAAAACTGGTATTTGCGTTTAAATTGACGGTGATTTGTAGACTGAAAAAGTGAATTTGGAAGAATAATGACCAGATGGAGGGGGTAAAGATATTATAACTAAAAAAATTAAGAGAATTAAAATAAGAGGAAAAGACATTAAGATAATAAGTGAAATGAACGGATTGATAAATAAGACAATAACGGATGCAACGCAAACTAATTAATATACTTGGTGTTTCTCGTCATAGAGTTATCAGTTGTTTTAGGTGCTTCAGAACAGTGTGTGAAAATGTATTTATACTATGTCATAGCGTTTTGACAGGTGCCTTGATCAAGACGGTTAGGAGTTTCATAAGTTATTAAACAATAGTGTTATAACTTAGGATCTCGTCTGAATCTCTGGAGTGCAGTGAAAGTGCCTATGAAGCAGCACACGTACTTATCTTTCAAAAAATTAGTTTTTTTAGTTACTACTAGTAGTCGAAGAAATAGGGTGGACACAATTTGGGTAGTTAAGGGTTGATATTGTCAAGACATTACAGCTCAAATATTTACTAGCTTCCTTATTTTCTTAAGCGTTATCCCATATTAAATTTTTAGAGATTTGTGTGTTCAAAATTCGGACCTAGCGCCACAACTGTTTTGTAATACGATCTGAATGAAACCTTATACAACAAATGAACCGGCTTTTTCCACATATAGAACAAGGGATGTATCTATATGGTCACGGAAACATTTTCATAATCCCGAAACAAGCATAAAAATAAAGCACCAATCAATAACTAGATTCAGAACTATCAGTAAATGTTCCATGTCTTATGTGTATTACAATTTGGTATACAATAAAGAATTATTACTTGATAGACGATTGTTAACAAGAAATTTTAAAGCAGTGAGAAAGAGGATAGTTGGAAGCATTACAAAAGTTCATTTTATGAAGAAATGATGAGAAATTTCCAGGATTATAATCTTATAGATTGCAAAAGCATTATATACTGAAATACCAGGTAGACGAGTACTAAACACTCTGAATAACATAAGTTTAAAGACGGGTAAAAAGTTCAAAGATACCACAAGTATTTGATGTTTGCCAACGCTTTAACCAGTAATGTGCCAAATTAGTAAAATCGAAAGTCAAAAACAATGAGGTTCGGAGATATATTTGATAGGCTATCGATAAACCAAGAAGTAGTCAATATAAGCCGGCTAGAGGTTGTAGGAGATGTGAAGCACGGAGTATCCACTCGTGATCTGGAGCGGATGCATGACCGAGCACCTACAGCCAGATGAGTCCATTAAAACCAATGCGGCCAACATTATATGTCGAAGACACGCAGAGCTACCGATTTTGAGAATTTATTTACCGCTACAAGTTCATTATGACCGCCATATTGTGATAGTTTTAGTTCTGTTCTTAGTAAGTCTTTGACTGTACACCTCCCGAGGTTTTATATGTATGTAAATTAAGAATACGTTTTAAAGAATAATACACAACGAAACAACTTAAAGGTTATCAACAAATACAGCCGTCAACTGTCTTCTGATATTTGGCCTACGAGGGATATGATCGGTTAACTGGCACGTAGTCTTCCTGTAGTGGTGATCATAGTCAAACATGACTCGGTGCCACACTACATGAGCATAGGCAAGTATCCAAGATGATAAAACTGCATGTACTGATTATGATGCAGTGCATGAAGCTGACTTCCAATGTATCAAGAATTTTACTACAGTAAACGAAGAATAACACAAGTTTGGTAAATGTTTTTCAATACTTCATTTACGTAATTCATCTTTATTTGGTCAAGCCATATGCTTCAAGTGTGGTATAGTGGGACATATTGTGTCGGTTTGTAAAACTATTATTCTTCTCATTGCTGCTTATGCTAATCCCTGTAATTATGATCTTCCAGTAATTCATTTCATATTCAAGAACGATTATATTTGTTCTAGGGTGTTTGTTAATCTGGTAGTATCGAATCTATTCTTTCAGTTGGAAACTTGAAGTCGTTAAATCCCAATGTCATAAGTAACCATATTTCGAGCGTTACTGGTAATCACAATTTTTATTTTCTTAAGTTTGTATGCATATATACTCCATATCGGCTTCATTATTTTGGAGACTGTTTTGTAACGACACAATCGTAATTAGCTTTTAATAGAAACAAACAGGTTTACAAAGGCGACTACAGGCTCACAAGAGTATCACAGAATCAGATTTCAAATTGCTGAGTGGATTCTGATTTACTGTGTGTTTCTAGGTGGTTCGAGAAACCAAATACTATTGCGTATCAGTGCATTTATCGTTCACATTTATAGGCTCATACTGCCCAGAATTAACTCTTTATAAATAACACAGCAGCGTAAACTATGGCAAAATGCCTTCAATAATATCTATTGACATTTTGATGATATCATTGGTTGATTCAAATATACTTAGGTAGTCAATCTTAAGTTACTGAATGTTTAAAACACGCCTACAATATTTTGAAGGGTACCAGATAATAATTATATTTTATTGGTTCACGGAGCTTAACAGTGAATAACTCGGAAGATATGTATAAGGCTTACTATTTTACTCTCGTTAGGCTATGCTGACAGGAAAAGTGTCTCAGCACATCGTTAGGTGGTTCGCTTAAACATGACACAGAGTGAGTGAAAACTGTTAACCTAGCTAAGCAGATGCGAAATTTTGTCATTTAGTAAATCAAGGTAGATGTGTGACACTTGAATGAGATAAAGTAGTGGGTAGCTTCAAGCTCACATACGGATGTTTTTAATTTAGTGTCAGGTTGTTGGTCAAATCTCAGCCATTCACCACTGTTTTCCGAAGAGTTTCGTTCTCACAGCTGGATAGTTAGGTTATGGAGCTTGCATTGATCTTCTGAACAACATCCTTAATAGAAGATTGGGGTGGAAGTGGAGTTTTTAAAGATGGCCACGTATGACCCACATTTTGTCTTGTTGTACTCAATACTGACTAGTTACTATTAGTATTTAACATATCACCATATGCCTTTTTATTTTAGTTGTGTTTCACATTGGTCTGGTTGTTGGTCCCATACTTGTATATAAACGTTCTGATTGATTGATAAACTGGATCGACTTCGATGTGTTTGTAAACTGTTGATTATCCTGAGTGCAGAGCTTTCGAAAATTCTCTCTTGTTTTTAATATCCCATCTACTCAAGATTTCAACATAAGGAAGTTGTGTTCACGAATGGCTTCGACTGCTACCTACATTGTGTTTGCTAAACGTATCTATATTCTATTTACATGTGTGTAATCGAACATGCAATATTCAGTGATATTCACTAACGACCCTGCTTTTTCATCGACAAAGATTTGCATGTCATTGGATAGGTTGCCGAAAAGTCATCATATGCAATCAGATTTTCGCGTCATGTGAAGAAGTATTTCTTGTGTGGAAATCATCGATAAACCAACAGTCAAAGTAAATCATATAAAGAAAATGCGATGAATGAAGATTGTACTCAAAATGTTCACAGCACAAAATTGAACTGAAAAGGCAGGCGAACAAATTCAACGGCTAAATGAGGTGTGTAAAGCATATACAGGCAATCCTGATACTTGAACCATAAATGTATACTGCGAAGTTTTGTCTGAGTGAACCGTGTGACAGAGCTTTTAAAGTGTTGCGTGCTGCTGCTAAACTCACGGCGAAATAAGCAACTGAATGTATGATTTGTATAAATACCTTAAACAAACATTTATTCCACTTAAATTTGCATGAAAATCTCTGATCACTGATTGTATATTGATAATATGCAACAATCATATACCAAAATGTTTTCCTGTCAGCTCACCAAGGTTTTCAGTTTTGTTTTTCACAAACAAAATTTCTCAATATACTTACACGAATAACGTTTCTATTATCTTTTAAAAGCAACTGTTTTAACCAGTATATTGAACAATAATTAGGTGGCTTTCAATCTTGTAATACGTTTTCGCGTTTATTACAACCCAGTTAATCCATCACATTTTTGCTAATTTACTGTGAATAATAGAGATTTTCTCAATTTTTCACAATTTGTTTCGAGTAAGTTGTCAATATGCCACCTGTTTCTTTAAATTGTATGC